CCCCAGCCTCCTCCACTAACCTCCGGAGTCACACCTCCACTCCCAGTCAGCTGTTCCTCCTCTCCCTCAGAGTCTGACTCTCTCCCTCAGAGTCTGACTCTATCAAGGGCATGACATAAACTTTCTAACAGTGAGGACAGTTAATCGGTGGAACAGCTTGCCATCAGAAGTTGTGGATGCTTCATCACTGGAGGTTTTTAACAAAAGCCACCTGTCTGAAATGGTATAGGTCTCTTGCTTGAGCAGGGGATTGGACTAGAAACCTCCAAGGTCCCTTCCAGCTCTATTCTGATTGATTGAAATGTTGAAATGACAACCAAGCACAGAGCAAAACAAACCTCAGAGTGGGAATTCACAATTATCTGTTTCCTAATACCAAGGGATCCTATAGTAAATATTTAGGGTTATGCATTCAAATAATATCCATTCAAATAGTAAATGTGCATTCAAATCACTTGAATGAATCATTCCCCTAAATAGTTGTCCTAGATCAGTTTGGGTTTTCCTTTTCTTGGCTACAATATCCTTTGCTGTGTGGGATGGGGGGAGTCAGCAAGCACTAATGGTGGCCTTTTCAACTTTCATTAGAGATATCTGGCTCCTTCTGGGTGCTAATTTGGTCTCCTACTTTGGACATTATCTTTAAACGGGGCTCATGTATACATCCAGCTGGTTCACTATGGGGATTAACATTGCTGCTTCCTAAGAGATGGGAATTGATCTGGAGTCCATCACAAATGACACATTCTTTCTTCTTCTTCTTCTTCTTCTTTTTTTAAAAAGGTAGTTATGTAGGAATGAATGCTAGATAAGATAGGAGCTCCAGGCAATTTTCATCTATGGGAAAGGGAATAAATAATGCATAAAATAGGAGATATGGTTCCATAAATTAAGAAGGTATGAGATTAGAGAAGCTTAACTGGTGAATATTGGTGGGTCACATGCAGATATATATATATATATACACATGTAAATCTTATAAAGGTAAGAACATAGATTTAACTAATTTTAAAAATAAAGTTCATTCTTCAGGCAGCCCTATATTTTGGAATTCTGAAATTTCGCGCATACTGCAGAATTATCTGAATAAACTATTTGAAATATATTATTACCTTGAAAGTTCAGTGCTCAGAAGCAGCACTTATCTAATCATCATGTCTAGTGGAATGCATCACAGAGTTTTCATTAACAGTTATTGAGTTTTATACCAAATAGATTTTTTTTTTTAAAAGGGAAGGGTACAGGCAGAGAAAAAACTGCTTTTTGAGAAAAGGGCTAAGAATTATTTCAATCAAATTTGGTAAGAATTTTGAATTGTTCGAAGTATATATTCTCTGGGGCCAACCTTCAATTTATATATCTATGGCTCTTAAAAACATAGGCGAGCAAGCATAAACAAGCAAAAAAGGTACCCCCCCCCTCAAAAAAAATCCATCCGTGATTGGCAGACTGTTTATTAAGATGCCATTTTCTAAGTTTATTTCCTTATTTTTTTTTATCAAAAAATTTGCAGTTGCTGTATTGAACTGAAAGTGCTCATGATCTTTACAGATAATCAGAGTTGGAAGGGACCTTGTAGGTCATCTAGTCCAACCCCCGCCCAAGCAGGAGACCCTACACCATTTTTGACAAATGGCAGTCCAATCTCTTCTTGAAAGTCTCAAATGATGGCGCTCTCACAACTTCCGAGGGCAAGCTGTTCCATTGGTTGATTGTTCTCACTGTCAGAAAGTTTCCTTTTATTTCCAGGTTAAATCTCTCCTTGTTCAGTTTCCATCCATTATTCCTTGTCTGGCCTACAGGCACTTTAGAAAATAGCTTGACCCCTTCTTCTCTGTGGCAGCCCCTCAGATATTGGAACACTGCTGTCATGTCTCCCCTGGTTCTTTTCTTCACTAGACTAGCCATGCCCAGTTCCTGTAACCATTCTTCATATGTTCATAGTCTTCAGTCCCCTAATCATCCTGGTTGCTCTTCTCTGTACTTTTCTAGAGTCTCATCTTTTTTATAATGTGGTGAGCAAAACTAGATGCAGTACTCTAGGTGTGGTCTTACTAAGGCTTTATAGAGTGGTATTAGTACTTCCCTTGATCTTGATTTTATCCCTCTGTTAATGCAACTTAGGATTGCATTAGCTTTTTTGGCTGCTGCTGCACACTGCTGGCTCATATTTAGCTGGTTGTCCACTAAGACTCCAAGATCCCTCTCACAGTTACTCCATTCTTTAAGAATGGAAAAGAATGGGACAATTAAATATGGCTGCCTTAGCATGCCCACTTTATCTTGGGCTCCCTGGAACTGTCCCACTATGGGCATTCATACTCACCTGGCCCTCCGCTTCTCCCCCATCAGTGGTATGCACTGTGTGCGTCCTGCACAGCCAATTGGTTGGAGACAAATGTCCCTCTGCAAATGTTCTGACCAAGGCTTCCCAAGACTGTAATTAAGCACCTGCTAAGTTAAAACACATCTTGTTTTATTTCAGCGCTGGGAATTATTTTCATTCCCAGCTGGTGATGAGTCCCAAACAGTCCCTTCGAGATAAAAACCCACCTTTCTGTCCTTTGAATTGCTGCCAACAGCTAGAGTTCCAAATGAATTATAAAAAACCAACTGAAGTATAAATCCACATAGAGCTTCAAGGGTTAATCCTAATAGAATGAATGACTTTGCTTCCTGCAAAGGTTTCATCACCTTTGCCTGTCCTTTATACCTTATGGGAGGGACAATCATCTCCCAGCCTTACTCCCAAGTTGCCCCTTTTGTTTCAGCTGCTTTTGCCATCTAGCAGCTCTGTCCACATGCGCACTGGGAACAGGCTCCCCTGGGTCCTCTGCCTCGCTGCTGCCAGACTCTGGAGATTCCGGATGCAGAACTTCACTCTCAGATGATCCTGGCCCCATCTCTGCATTGGACACAGGAACCTCGTCCGAGTCCTCTCAAGACTCCTGGACTGGTCTCCGTTTTTCCCCACTGTCCAATTTTGCTGTCGTCTGCCGGCAAACCACAACAGCGAATCAGCAAGAAGGAAGAAGTGGAGGAGGGGCATTGGCAGACCAGTAGTGGGTGAGGAGCGCTAGCGGAGAGCCAGCTGGATATGAATGCCCACGGTGGGTCAACTGCGGTGGGAGGATGAACATGAAGTGGGTGTGCTAAGACAGCTTCATTCAGTTGACCTAGACCTAACTGGAGACCAGCATCTCATATTTTCTTAATAATATTTAAGATCAGATGCAAGTCTGGCTTCACAGAGTGGATTAGGGAGAACTCTGTGTGGAGAATCCTGAGCCCCAATTAACAGTTTAGAGGAAGAAAATAGGAAGCACTGTATAAGAATTTTCCCCCACCAAATTATTCCCCACAAAAATTCACTGTGCTTTTCTGTATTGCAACCTTCCCCTCTTCAAAATGAAGACAAGGAACTTTTCCAGGCTTCAATCTCTTCCTCTGCTTTGGTGACAGTGATGGCCAAGTACTCTCTCTGATCACACTTAATGTAGCTCATGATTGATAGATTTATCTTCTTTTCTCCTTCCATCCATGCCAGGAAAGCAAGCACCAATTACTTTCCCATCTCGGTGCTTGTCTTTTAAGGAGTGATGAAAAGTAAATTCCAATACTTTCCCGTTTTTCTTGTTTGCTTGGACTAGATGGGGATCCCTGACAAAATTCATGCCAATGTATTTCACTCAATTTAAAAACAACAAGAAACAACCCTCAAGCAGCATCAACCGCAACAACCACAAGAAAACAGCCACCATTTTGCCAACTCAGCATTGTTGGAGGTTGACTAAGGAAAGCAGAGAGCACAGATCAGCAGACACCTTGGGGAATGAATGTTAATTTTTGCCAATGACTCACTTCAAACTTTAAGTGACATCCCGGAAGATTTAAGAACAAAGCTTATCAGGAACCTTGGCAATAATTTTATTGTCTCCCTAAATAACAGAACAATAATAGGAAGTCCACTCAGCATTGAGGTGATACCTATGACCAAATTATATAATTACTGTACAATGAAATATCCCTTCAAATCAATTGGAATTTTAGTGTTCTCTGGGGCCAATCACTATCTTTCAGACTAATCTGTCTCACGTCACTGTTGTAAAGACAAAATTTGACTGCAGAATGCTATGTAATTTGTCCTGAATCAATACATCAAAATAAATACATTCCTGTCAATCTCAGGAAGCTCAACAGAAGTAAACTAAATTAGGCCCTAAATGACAGACCACTACAAATGACCCCTTGGTCATTTGTAGTGGTCTGTCATTTAGGGCCTAATGAAAAACCTTCAATCTGAGAAGTTGAATAATTTTTTTCAGAAGTTGGCGGAGATGACTTCTATAATATTGGGAAGAAAACTACATGGAGGTCTTAGTGAAATCTTCAGATATAGTTTGCACTGGCAAATTAGAGAGTTTTTCCAATAACAGACTTCGTTTTCATGGCTGAACATAGTCAATATGATTGGTTGTTTCTCAAATAAAAATGTGGCCGCTATTAAAACAAATTGCTGAGCAGGGATTTCAGCTGGAAATTCAATTTCCATTCAGCATTACCTCTACCATTAATTATATTCATATATGGCAGAAATAGTATCAGAGCAGCCCAGATATGCTTTTCTTGATCATATCTGGAAATACTTGCAAACTGCAAAACTATTTCCCAATATACTTAATTCTCATTCACAATCAATAGGGCTTAGGAGTATTTAATAGAATATCGGATTGCAGTTTAATTGATTACACCTCCAAGCTGACACAGGGCTATCTCTTGCAAAAAGGCATTTAGTGGCTGAAATTAAAGAGGTATTTTATTCAAAGGCTTTGTATTATTAAAATTATTCAAAACCATAAAATGCTGAAAATCTGCCTTGAGTTGCCCCAGGGCTAGCTCATCAATACTTCAGCCACCAAAAACTCCATTAATTCTACCTGAAACCAAAGGGAATCATACCTTTGGTATTAGATATATAGTATATATCACTGATGGCTAACCTTTTTGGGCTCCCGTGCCAATAATTGTGCGTGCACTTGCCTGCTCGTTCTCGCATGCCATCACCGAGAGGGCAAGGCATGTGGGGGGCCCCCTTGCCTCCTGTGTATGCGCATGCAAACCACACGACTTACGTGACCCACGCGATCTGCGCGACCTACGCTGCATGCCTCTGAGCATGCACACGCTACCCACCACGCACGCCATGTGCTTCTGCGCATGCACAAGTATCTCCTGCATGCTGCCGCGCCCCCACACATGCGTGCCAGATACCCAACGATTAGCTGTCAGGCAGGCGCGCATACGCAGTAGACCTTTTCTGGGCGAGTGCTCATGTACCAACAGTAATGGCTCTGCATGCCACTTCGCATGCCATAGATTCGCCACCATGGGTATATATGTTAATGCTATTTGAAAAGTATAGAGATATCAAGTAGATTATGGAAGCTTTGCCCCAGAGCAAAATGGAGGAGGCAGGCAATAAAGCCAGAGCTTATTTAAAAGAGTGATTCAAAAACAACCCCATCCATTTCAGTTCAATTCTCAATTGAAAGACAATGAAAACTCATCCCCTCCATTTATATTGGATAGAGGGGAAATTGCTCCCTTTTTGCCTAGGGGACAGCAAAGAGGAGTGGCCCTAGTCTCGCTCTCTTCTCCCCTCAGCTGAGACGTATGGAAATGGTACATTTATTCTGTTTTATTCTTGATGAAGGATGAAGAAATGAAATTGATTTGGCATAATGGTTAAGACCGAGGAACCTGGAGACTGTGAGTTCTAGTACTGTCTTGGGAACAAAGCCATCTTGGGCTAGTCACCTTCTCTCAACCCTAGGAAGAAGGCAGAGTTGGGGTTCAGCCAGTTTGCACCACTTCGGGAGAACCGGTTGTTAAGTTTCTGAGCAGTTTGGTGAACTAATTGTTGGAAGAAATCATTAGGGCAGAGAACTGGTTGTTAAATTACTTTGAATCCTACCACTGGAAGAAGGCACTTCTAAAAAACTTTGTCAAAAAACACTGAAGGGGCCGTTCCAAGAATCAGACATGATTGAATGGAAGAAAAAAGGATTTACCAAATGACAAAGAGTTAAAACTGACAGGAATAAAAGCCAACTAGACCCAACATTTTTTGGTTGATTTGCCCTTATAATTGGTGAAACAATAAGTCCATACTTTCCTGATCCATCAACTGGAAGTTCCTACTCTGTCAGGCATACAGTTCATACTGTTGTTGGGGAATAGTTGAATAAGGTATAAAGTATATGTATGGAAAGGAACATACTTTACTAGTAGGAAAGCACATTTACAATTCATGCCTGTACCATTTTGTACTTTTGTCAACCTTTTAAAGTAATTTAGCAGTGATGATTCATCCATTGCTGTGTAAGTCTTTTAAATGGATGCCTGTAGGTTCCATTTTTAAATGTCATGAGTTAGCAAACAATTGTTCAAGGAGGTTTTAGAAGAGTAAGCACAGCTTCTAATCCTGCAGTACTCCCATGTAGCTTGTTCAAAAAGCCTGCAACTGTGCAGTTGAGTAGGATACAGTCCACATTACAACAACAAAAATTATGCAAAATTAATCTAACTCTCATGCAATTAAGGGTGAAAGGCTCAAATGACAACTCCATTCTACTTTAAAATACAGCATGTAAAAGGACGACAAACTTGATTTTGTTTTATTATAGGCTACTAGCTGCAAGTGTACTAAAGACATTAAATGACTATTAGGGCTGTGCAAAGCTTTGGATGCTTTTCATGGGCACACTTGAGAAGAAACAATGCTCCCTTCTACACTGCTTTATGGGAAATGCAGATCCCTGTTTTTAAACAGTGAACTACCACATTGCTTCACGTCATGGTGTTCCAATGTCCTCTCTGGGTACTTCCTGTAGCCAGATGGAGCTTCTGTAAATGTCCTACTTGCAAGTTTGGGCTGTGCAAAGTAGCCACAATTTGCCTCATTGCATTGCTCTGCACTACTCCATCTCTCTTGTCTGCCTTGTCTGGTATCCAGAAGAGGCTCCTGCACAGAAGTTTCTTTTCATGCTTCCATTTTGTTACCAGAAGTATCATGAGATGCTTTTGCCACAGTGCCTTTTCCATTGATGGGACATAACTCTGGCTGTCTCAGACAGGCCCAATGAATACTCTTTAAAAGTTTTCAGAGATCTGCTCTGAGAAAATGTCAATATTTCCACCTCGGACCCTGACGCTACACTCTTCAGTCTACAACAGTGATGCCTGTTGTTTGGAAAAGAGAACTTGTGTGGTGCAATTATTAAACTTGGCTGGGAAGGCCTAGCAATGGAATCTCACAAGATGACTTTGGAGCAGTCATTCGCTCAACCCCAGTCGATCTCACAGTTGTTATGGGGAAAACATGGAGGAAGAGATACTTATATATACCCCTTTGAGCCCCTGGAGGATATAGACAGGATATAAATTTGACAAATAAATAAATGCCTGGTAGCAAAATTACAATGCCATGCCATCATTACAGCTTTCAGGGAGAATTTATATGCAGGAGAAATGACAACTTGACAGCCAAGAAGTTTCCTCTCATACTAATAGCTCATGTTTTTTGTAAAATAATTAAGAATGTAAGAATGTTGTAAAGTAAGAATGTAAAAAGTAAGTAAAGTAAGAATGTTGCTGGCATAGCACTGAATAAATGATGATTATTGTCTCTTTTTCTTGGCTGGTTGGAGGGAACTCTAAATGGCTTATGGAATTCCCTGCTTATTCTTAGAGTTTTTTAATCAGCACAACTTGAGACATTTATGTTTCCATTTCAAAAGAACTGAACCAATCAGACAGTGAAAATGTTGTCACGGAACAATGCTTTCAATTTAACTTTTGGGTTTTTTTTAAAAAAAAATCTGCACTTGTCAAAGTACAAGAGAAAGTTGAGCCTATTGCAAGAATCAAAATGCAAGACTAGCAGAGCACAAATGACTATTTTGTGTTTATTTTTACCCAGAAGGGATTTTCTTTTGCTAGACGTCTACCCTAACAAGTGAGAGATAGATTCTAGGATCAAGACTAGCCACATCAACTAGTACTCTAAAATTACATCCTTGGACTTTCAAGAAAAAATTAAGCTCCGTCCCAATGGGATAGACATCTCTGACATTCCCCAAGCTGGAAGAGCTATGTTTATTTTCTTGCACGTTCAAAACATTATGCTATCCAAGTTTCTGCTTGTTAAAACAAGATATGCACTGGCTTCAGTGTCTCTATCCACCCATTTCTGACACAAACTTGACTTAATAATTTGTAATACTTTTTAGATGATAATTATATTTTGTACAACTGAATTCAGAGAGCCAGTTTGGTTTAGTGGTTAAGGCATCAGGAGACTATGAGTTTAAGTCTCACCTTAGCCAAAAAAGCCAGCTGAGTGACTTAGGCCAATCATTCTCCCTCAGCCCAACTCACCTCACAAGGCTGCTGTGAGGAATATAGGAGGAGGAAGGTGTGCTGGATATGTTTACCACTTTGAATTATTTGTAACAATACTAAAAATGAGATGCAAAGAAATAAATAACAATAAATAGCAATGTTGGGATGTTTTCAGAACATTTAAAATAGACAACTGCCTTAACTAGCTATTAGAGTTTCTTGGATAGAGTTTTAAATTGCATTTCTACCCATCAGGAAAATGATACAAAGTTTGAATACAAGCAGTCCTTTTTGGCAATGACAATTAGGACCAGCAACTTGGTCACTAAGCAAAGTGCTTACGAAGTGAAACTGTGATTGTGATTATGATCTTACTTCAGCTTTCATTTGTTTCACAAAGGGCATAAATGTGAAGATTTATGTAAAATTTCTTTTTCATTACTATTGTAACTGTGAAAAGTTGATATTCTAAGCAGCCACTAAATGAAGACAACCTATGTAATTAAAATTTCAATAAGAAAAGTAAGGGGGAAATTCTACTGAAAAGTTCCCAAACAATCATGCAGGTTTCAGTGATTACCTCATATGAATGATACTATAGCAGTCCCATCAGTATGAGGAGGAATGCTGGGAATTGTAATTCAACAGCTGGTCAGCTACAGTTACTCCAGGCTTATGTGACTGTCTATCTTCCATTTTCCATAAATGGGGGAATTCTTCCAAAGTTCTTAAAAGCAGAACTTTGTCTAAAAGTTTCTTAACGTCAATCCATTTTTTCAGCTTCAATTAATCTCCTACTGGCAACACAGTCTAGGAAGACACATGTAAAGCACTATAGAAAGCATCAACACAATATTGCCAAGAAACATGTGTTTGAGTCATAAACAAAGATGGAAGGCAACACCCAACTGTTTGGTTTCCTTTTCCTTCCCATCCTGTTCTTTGCATCTTTTTATTAACATTTTATTATAGAAGCACATTGCAAAGGGACTCGTGAATCTGAACAGAATTTCTTCATTAGATTAGGATGGGAATATTGTCCAGCACTGTTAAAAATATAACCTACCTGTGTAGCTTTAAAGAGGGTGGGAAGATTTAAGGAGCCAAAAATATATCAACAAGAATATAATATGAAATTGTAAATGGACAACATTGCTATAGTAGCCATAGGAATAATCACTGTATCAGCCGGATGGCAACAGACACTATCTTCATTATTGCAGCACAACTTAAAATCAGAACTGAAATTCATTAACCTCTCCAAAGGCTTTCAATATGGTTAACACATCATGGTATGAGCTCATGTAGTCATAGAATATAAACTCATATAATTGTGGTAGATTGTCACAGCTAAAAAAAGCCTACATTAGTTGTCTAGATTCTGAAGCCAAAAGTACCCTGAATAGGAATATTCCTGAATATTCCTAACATATAGAAACATTAAATCTTCCATGGGCATCTTAATAGGTTATGCCTATTAAGATTGTTAATACAGCCCAATATAGTTAATACAGTACTCCATTTGCTCTTTCCAGATTTAACTCACTCCTTCAGCAATTTTTGATGATAAATATAAAAAGTCCTTTCCACAAATGACTTTGCTTTAGTGACCCCACACACTATGAATGATTTTCAGCATGTTCTGTTGCTCTGTAATT